ATAGGATCTGCGAGTGCAGCACCTGCAAACACGACTTCCTTCAACGTCAATGAGGCACTGAGTGAGTTTAGTAAAATCGCTGTCTTCACATTCCACCTCAATCTCATCATCAGACTTGAGGATGGAACGTAAGATGTCCTCCCCCCCTTCATCCGAGGTCCCGGCGTAATTAAGAAAACACGCGGGAACACGTCTGATACGTGGGGTGCAGCAATTTGCCAAGGGTGTGTCGTCAATGACATCCTCCATCTCAACATCTGTAGACAGTCTACAGTATAATATCATGTATGTGGACAATGGTAGTCCACATAGAAGGGGAAGCTTGCTTCTGGTCCAACTGCACACAGTGCTTACAAAAGTGATGCACCCGTGCAATTTGTAAGCATCTGCATTTCGACATCATATATACCAATGAATGGGGAAGCAAGCTTCCCCATTAGGATTGGTCATAGACCACTGAGTCGTGTGATAACGTACTTGGGAACTGCTTGTGGGCATGAATTATTCTCAATGGATGTAATATTCTCAATGGAAGGCCTGTGAACAGGTCAAGATATGTTCCAAGACGTGAGTCGTGTAAAATGTACTCATTATGCTCAATGGCGGGGTTATGCTCGATGGCAGGTTTGGAAGGTTGCTCCAGTACAATGCGCTCAGCACCACTGTGGAAACGCGGTTTGAGGTCTGTCGGTATGTCATCCCACAGAATGTCGGACAGTGGTGGCGATGGGAGGAATTCTGGGAAACCGTGGAATTTGATGTCATGTCGCGAGCAGATGGACCTCAAATGAGGAAACCAGACGAGGTAACCTTTCGAGTCCCTCGCATACCCGACAAATCTCCCCTCTTCACCTCTTGAGGTGACTTTGTTGAGCTCGTCGGAGTTGGTCTTCCTCGACGTAACCAGTGCACCAAAGGGTCTGAGGTGCGAGAGGTCTGGCCATTTCCGAAGCCAGCATTGGAATGGGGTTGTATCACGGTCGAGGGAGGCATGGGGTACACAGTTTTTGATATGCACCCCCGCTTGCGCAGCAAGAGGCCAGAACCAGGATGATAAACCAGAGTCAACGAGCATTGCACGCATCATGCACTCAATGATCTGGTTTGCACGTTCGGCTACCCCATTTTGTTGTGATGCGTCAGGGACTGATTTTTCGTAGGTGATTCCGTTCTTCGCGCAGTAGTCACGGAACTGGCCTTCAACAAGTTCCGGGGCATTGTCGATGCGCAAGAACACGACCAGGTGACCTAGAAATTTCTCGGCTGCTGTGCGAAACTCGTGGAAGCATTGAAGAGCATCGGATTTGTATTTAAGGAAATAGATGGAAATAAAATGGGAGTAGTCGTCAATGAAGGTGATGAAGTAGCGGAATGAGCCAGATGGGTAAAGGACCACAAATGTCAGAGTGGATGCGGAATAAAGGATGTTTTGCGTGATTCTTGGCCTTGTTAGGGAATTTGAAGCACTTGATATTGGCCAGAGCACAGATGCGACAGTTCTTGATCAGGACACTGTCGATCGGCAGTCCAGTAGTCGCATGTTTCAGCCCTTTAACATCCAAGTGGCCCACTAGACGGTGATAAAACCCAGGTGCTTAGTGTCCACGCTCTCGGTGTCTGGTCCGAATAGGGAAGTCACCGACGGAACCATAGTGGCGATCAAATCTGGGGTATCAATCCCAGAGTTCGGCTCGACCATCACCACATCCATCCTGTACAAGTCCCTCATGATACCTGCAGACGCGAACAGCACTCCTACAGCTTTCAGGTACGTGATTTTGCTGTTTCCAGTCTGTGTACTGACTTCCTTCCTGTCAATTCTAGAGCCAGAGATGAGATTGCAGTGAGCGGTAGGAATGTGGAGGGCATTGGAGATGGAGAATTGGTGTTTTGTCCCATCGTACATCGCTTCCATCACAATTTTCCCTTTCCCTACTGCCTGAGCGGACAGGTTCGCACCGAATCTGTGGATGTCCAGCGGTGTGTCAAACAGTGTGTATTCATGGAAGAGCCGCTGCTTGTGGAAGATGTGGTGCGAGGCTCCCGTGTCATGGTTCACGGTGTCATCCTGCACGATTTCAAGATTGAGCACAGCCGCATTCACGTGGATCTCCTCATCGATGGTGATCTCATCCTCGTCGTCAGTATCTCTTGGCAACTCCAGCATGAACGCAAATCCGTCTGCGACAGTGTGGAAGACCTCGCGCACTTCCTCTTCCCCATCCTCTGTGGATTCCACCATCCCAGTGAATCGACTTCCACTCGACTCGAATGTCTGTTTGCGATGTGCAGCAACCCTGGCTTCAGGCAACAGGTGGACATCTTTTTGGCCACGAAAGCCCTCCAGATACTTGCCTGCTTTTCCACCACTGTAGGAGAAGCAGTCAGCCTTGCTATGGCCCACGGGAGTTTTGCAGAAGGTATTTTCGCAAAATTTTCACGGGGCAGAGCGCTGCTGGACATTGTACGGGCTCGGGTGTTTGCCCTGGCACTCGTGTGACTTCTCGTTCCTGCAGTCATTTTGGTTGGACAGTTGTCCGTACCTGGGGCTGTGGTTGGAAGGTCCAGCAGCATAGATGCTAGGGACAGCGTCTCCAGCACGACCCTTTCCTTTCCCTCCAGTAATGAGTGTGTTGATGGATATGATTGAAGGTGCAATCTTCATTTCAACCTCTTCCTGCTTCATGTGACTGATGACAACCACAGATGACACTGGGTTCCCCATTGCATTGCCTTGGCAGACCTTCTTGCAAAGAGAGTCATGACAGTATCGCCAGGTGTCAGCAGACGACATGAGGGTGACCAAGTGTTTGGCAAACTTGTTGTCTGGCATCATGTACGGTTCTGCATCTTGCAGCTTCCCATAAAGCTGAATCATGACTTGGTGCCAGTTGACTGGATCCTCGTTGGCACCGCACTGGTAAGAAATGATTTGCTGCTTGATTGTGATGGCAGTCAGTGCGTTAGAAGGCTCATATTCATTTTTTAGAGCGTTCCAGGCGTCATGCACCAATTTGCACTCGTGAACGACATACAGCTTCGTGTTCAGGACTGCCTTCACAATGAGGGTGTGAGCCTTCTTGTTGGCCAGAAGCCATGCTTCAGTGTTCTTCTTGGCTGCATCCACCACCCCTTTGTTGCCTGGTATTGTGACAGTGACCAAGTTTCCAGCGGCATTGTGACCTTGGACTTGCATGCTCGACATGAGCCCGGGGATGACGGGAGGGTTGTAGTCATCCCCTGCAATGTACTTCCAGTATCCCGCGGCATCAAGGTCTAGTGTGGCCTTCTGTTTGAACTCGCTATAGTTATTCGAGCCGGCTTCATCCTCCAGGATAGGGGTGAGCTTTAAACCTCTCCACTCTTTCTCCTTGTCGACGTTGGCAAGGTTTGCCATTTAGTGTGAGATGGAGAGATGGATTGGAGATGAATTGGGAGTAAGATAGAGTAGTGAGGATCGTTGCTGTGAATATAGTCTGGTGTGGATTTATGCGCAGTAAACTCAGTGTGTTGTTTTGAGTTTAAGCAGATCAGAGGCCCATAACCTATTAAACTATATTCCGGTCTGGGTCGGAGAGAGAACGGTTAGATTTAGATGTATGATTTACAATGGTATCAACATACCTGGGTTGGAGAGAGAACGGTTAGGGGCTCTCTCCGCCCAGTATGGTAATGTTACAATGTGGGCGCTAAGTCATACTTTAACATGGGTAGTGGTTCATTGTTCTGGGGGCGGCCGGGGAACAGGTCCAGCTTTGCAAGCTCGAGCTTCACCACCAGGAAGACCGGGTGGAACTGGGAGTAATGTTGCCACGACTTCAGACTTGGGCCAATGAAGTCGACTTGGAGTCGGGGACTCGAGCCGAGTTGAGTCGAGTCACTCGACTCGACTCAAAGTCACTCAAGTTAACTTCGAGTCGGTTCCCAGGTAGGTTGCGTAGTTCGGCCCGAAAACACGATTGGGAGCATGATCAAAATTTGTGACATGGGTACCGTCGCATGTGCGTGATATCCTGTGACATTGTTGTGATGGCCGATTTTTTTTTTTTTTGCTTTTCATGTTTTTATGACCTCTGGAGGCCCTAGGATCAGGTCCAAAAATTTGTCAACTTGGCGACTCAAGTCGACTTGGCCGAGTCCGACTTCCAAATCAAGTTGACTTAACAAGTTGCAACTCGACTTGCCGAGTCGCAGCAACACTAGCTGGGAGTAGCGCAGCAGGAGCTTGAGCTTGTACACACCGTTGCCCACAACCTTTATGACCTTGAAGGGTCCGAGCTACTTGTCTGAGAACTTGGGTGACAGACACGTTGTTTTGATGTCGGACACATCTACCCAGACTCGGTCACCTACCTTGATCTCCGGCGTAGGCACGTGTCAGCCCCAAAATTCTTACAACAGGACAACATAGGGGCCCCAGATCTATGCTTGTCCTTGCCCTATTTTACTGCCAAAGCACAGTCCAGAATTTGGAGTTCAAAATTAATTGCAACACAACACTGTGACCATATTCCAGACCCCCCCTCCCAGTTACAGTGGTCAGCCCTGGGCATCAACTGGTTCACTGTTCACAGAGGTGTACTGCAGCCCAAAATGCCATTCTGTGCATGTTTTAGAAAACCAACCCTGTCAAACCTCTGGTCAAGACAACATTGACTTACTGTTCCATTTCGTTCAATTTGTATGGTCACAGGTCACAAGCACAAAAATCTACAAAATATTTTGTAGGTCACAGGGTCACAAGGGCTCACTTCAAAAGGTTCTCACCAATTTAACACCAAAAATTCACTCTGGGCGGCCCTGTGGGGCAGTTTTATACAAAATTTTCATAAGTCACACAAGTTGCAAGCCCGCATACGAAAGGATCATTTCATATTTGATGTCACACACCAAAGTGCCGTACGAATTGAACGAAATGGAACAGTATACTTATGTGCCTGTTCCCTGGTGATAAAAAAGTCCTCCAAACCTCATATATGCCTCTGGTCGGCTTCAAGGAATGCCCCCTGGCCCAGCTGGTTAAGGTGCAAGACTGTTAAGATTCCTCTAGGTTTTCCATTCAATCTTGAGATCGTGAGTTCAATCCTCATGGGGGCAGCTCCAATGTGTTCTGTGTTCTGTGTTCTGTTCCATGAACAGTGACCTCTTTTTCGAAGTGCTTTTTTATCGAGGAGCACTGTTGTTCGCAGAAGCTTCTCTTTTTTTCTAAAATAACCCAAATTTGGAACCAACCCAGGTTGTTGGCGCCATCCTAGAAAAGTCGCTGATGAGCAACGGCAGCAAAGGTACTTGCCAATTGACCAATGAGTGTCGACTAATAGCCTACTAGGGCTGAGATATGACACATGTGTTATATTTGTGCCAGTCTGACTCGGACCACCCGAAGAAGAAGCAAAATAAATCTACTTTGTGGAATTTGAACAGAGGACACGAGTTCCCGGAGGAGACTCCAGCTATGTATTATATAAATATTAAACCCGAATAAAAACCGCCACACACAGAAAAAAAAGGGTACAATTGTCAAACAGTAGAGGAAGACAAGAGCGCGGTGGGGTGCTTTGCGCCCCACTACTTCGGTTGCGGAGAGCCGCCAGAATACTGAGTATTACTTGAGAAGAGAAGCAGCACACATGGCGAGCTTATCTGAAGTAAACTGTGGACCATTGACGTAGGTACCAACCAGAGTTATGGGCCTGATTGACCAAAACTTAGCTTCAGACATACAGACGCCATTTTATAAAGAGGGAGAAAAGTTCGATCGGCTCCGCATTAGCTCTCTGATCCGAGGTCGCAACGCGTACACTGATCGAGTCGGCGCGTCACGTACTTAGCGTTCGCCACCATGTCTGAGGACGAACAACTGGGTTCTCGCTCACACAGCTCGACTGGGTCCATTCCGGTGAAGCAGCGAAGGCCTCTGCGGTCCTGTGACATTTGTCGGCAGCGCAAAAGTGGGGCCGCGAACTTTACACTCAACATGCACTGATCTATCCTCTTGTATAGTTCGATGTACTTAACCCATCTTCCCCGGTGTCTTAAAACCCTCTAATGACCATCAGGCGATGGGCAGAATATGCCCGATGGCCACTGCTCAAATTGTTTGGCTTTTGGTTCACCCTGCACATATATGGAGCCGGCGAGGAAGCGTGGTAGGAAGCCGAAGTATGTGCCCTTGTGAGATTTGTGCCCAGGTCTCTGATTTTATTGTCTCCGAAAGCCTTATGGATGAGCTCAAGAAAGAAAATGATGGCCTCAAGACGGAGAATGCTTCACTGAGGGCAAAATTACGATCGCTCTCTGTATGTTCATTGTGTGCTCAGCCCTTCGGTGGAACCTCCAGGGATATCCCTGTATTTCCCTGCAACGCTCCTGCAGCCAAGACCCCCCCGGAGGATGATCCGCTTGAAGAATTGTCTTCGCGTTTCAGTCTGTTTGACTTGGATGAATTTGGAGACTACTTTGGTTCCACCAGTACTTTCTCTCTCGCCGACCACGCCATCGCGGTCAGCACATCGACGAAATGCACATACCTTCAATAACTCTCGCATTCACAGATGAAAGAAACGCACGACGGACGACCATTCTCGTTACATTCGCGTCGCCCCTTCTTTTGGGACATATTACCGGCAAGCTGGTTTCTGCGCCGTTCAAATCCGTCCCTGACTGGCAGTTTTGTCTAGTGGGAGAAAGAAGCACACCGTCTTCGACCCCAGTATGTCTATCCTCCCAGCGACTTGATGGATTCTCTTCTGTGTCTATACTTTACAAATGTGCACCCGACTCTACCCATACTGAACCGCCCTTTATTTGAGCGGTCTGTAGCGCAAGGCCTGCACTTGACGGACGCACAGTTTGGTGCAACATTGCTCGCCGTGCTGGCGATTGGCTCGCGGGTGAGCTCACTTTAATATTCCATGCCACCACTCACAACTATCGTTCCAAGTACTCGAAAGACCCCCGCGTGTTGATCGATGGCGACGTGTCATGCCTTTCGGCCGGCTGGAAGTTTGCCAATCAAATCTGGATCCTTCAAAAGTTGTTTAACCCCACGATATACGAGGTTCAGATGTATTGTGTATGCTCACACTCAATTTACGACACTGTTCTCATTACATTTGTTTTTTTCAGCTCCTGACCCTCTATGCCATGGGGACATCTGCGCCTCAAAACACATGGCTGTACCTCGTACGTTCGTCCAAACACTCCAGAGAATGAATATAATGTCACTTAGGGAATTGGTATTCGCTCTATTCACCACCGCGGTGCGCACCGAAGAAAACTGAAGAGCAATAAGCGGGACCCTGAAGATGAGCTATGGAAGCGAGCATTCTGGTCATTTATTGCTTTAGAGCGATTGGTCTGTGTTTGTATCGGACGCCCAACGAGCCTTCACATCGAGGAGTATGCGCTTGAACTCCCTCCTGCGACTTGCCTCTGACTGCTGTTATTAGGTACGACACTGAACTGCCCCTGCAGGTGGATGATGAATACTGGGAACAGGGATTTACGCAGCCGCCAGGAAAACCCTCCCAGCTATCGTTTTTTGTCTGCGATTTGCAGCTCTGCGAGGTTATCCTGCCGATTCTATAACCACGTACACCTTCTGAGTTTATGAGACAGATCTCGGCCGACGTCATGCGGCGATTGTATGCGTCGACAAAATCGAAGACACTGATGGGTTGGGATAGCTTGGATTGGGACCAGCGCACTGTTGCTCATTTCGACTCGACGATGAACGACTTTTTAGATTCCATTCCACCTCATCGTACGTCGTGACAATTTTCGTCTCTGTATTCCAACCTTTCCACAGTCCGATGGGATCCGGACAGTCCGCCGCAGGGCGTGTTTCTTGATCAGTCAGCTGTGTTACACGTCTCGTACCACTATCTTATGATAACGGTTAGAACCTTGCTCAGGCGTTCTTGGACCTCCTGAGTTTCTCTTGCAGATCCACCGACCATACATCGAAAAGGCGACCGCACTTTCCGCCACATCACTCACTATCTGCGCAAATGCAGCCCGTACGATCGTTCGTACGGCAGATATTTGGTTTACCAAATTACAACGAATACCTCATCAAAGTCTCCTGTATGTTACTTCCTTCTCTGGTTACTATGTGGCTGAGTGTTCAGTAGAACCCCGTCTTCGTCTCGGGACTCATCCTTCTTTTGAATATGTTAGCAGCCAAGCGTGCTGGTCTTTCAATAGATCCGAATAAGGACTCAACTCTCGTCGCGAGAGCCATGGATTTCCTCAAGGTTGCTGAATCGACGTATGCTCCACTTTCTTGCTGTCATGCTGCTCTATACCAAGTTCCAGATATCAACCAGTGGGTCGCGCAACGGATATCCTTCGCGCAATGTGGACGTTCGATACCCAACCGACCAGTACAGTTATCGACGCTGGTGCATACAAGAGCGGAGTTGCTGAGTCCGCTGCCCTCCAGCCTCCGAGCATCTTTGTGCCGAATGGTGTGAATGAAACTCGCCCGCAACCTGAACACGCCCAAGACCCCACCAGCAGCGTTTTCGAAGATGAGCTCATGTCAATGTGGATGGCGGTCCCCCCCGACGTCGCGTGCGTACGATATATTGTCTGCATTCCTCCACGTTAATTAGGGGGATTGTTCGCAGGCATATGATGGGCGGTTGGGAGACATACGTCGAAGAGAGGAATGTCGGGGATGTAAACTGGCTCAGCAGTTTCGGACCGCAGGAGTAGACCATCATCTCAGCTTCCAACGTACTGTACATACATAGATATCGTACATGTAGATCATCGCAATTTCTTGTTGTATCATGACCCCTCCCAGATGTTTGGATCTCGCTATTGACGGCAAGTACCCAAATTGGCTGGCAAGTTGGTTTCATATTTTACAGTTTGGCCGTTCGCCGCGGAATCAAGGTGCTATCCACCCGCTTGCCCTCGTCTGCCTGCTCAGCGACCTCAAGAGAGGGGAAAACTGCAGGCATAATCCGGCGCGGGCTGGTCCCGGGCACGAGGGAATAGCGTGAAAAGTCTGTAATGCCAGCGTGGTTCCGCAAGAAGTCCTCATCCGTATCGAGCAGACCGTTTACTGTGGCCGCAGGTGCAGCTAGCATGGCCAGGATGGCGTCGGAGAAGATGGCTGGATGCCGCAAGTCCTGACGCTGTTCAGGGTCGTTGCTGGCGGCTAATGTAGCGGCCGATTCAATGGACTGGAGGGATAATTGTCAGCCAGAGCTCGAATTTTGAAATGGATCCCATAGACTCACACTGGCAGGCCAAATGCTAGTGATAGCCATGTCGGGCTTGCCCTCACGCTGCCAGTCTATGGCCAGACCTTTGGTCAGCACGCTCATGCCGACTTTTCCCATAGCGTAGGCCGTCTTGCCGCGGAAGAAGCGCGAGTAGATGGGCGGGGACACGACTATGATACGGCCGCGCCAACCACCACGCTCAAAGTACGGAAGCGCCGCCTGGACCGTGGCGTACAGGCCTTCGACATTGACCTGCTGCATCAGTCGGAAGCGACGCATCGGCGTCTTCGCCACGCTAGCCCACCAGATGGCGCCTGCGTTGTATATGACCACGTCAAGCCGTCCAAAGTGCTTCCATGTGGCCGCGAAGAGCGCCTCGATGCTGTCGGGCTCGCGCGTATCCACGGCTAACGCCAACGCAGTTCCACCTGCCTCAATGATTTCTCGGGTCACGGTGCTCGCGGTCGATTGAGACGAGTTGGGATCGGGCGGGAAAGGTCGCACGGCCGACGCGTCACTTAGACCTCTTGCCCGATACAACGACTGGAAGAATCCGTTTAGTGTATTCTTCAAACCTGGGGAATATGCCTACCGGCGTAGCCTTGCTTCGCCAGGTCAATGCATACCTGACGTCCGATGCCGCGTGAACCGCCAATGACGAGGGCAACCTTCTTCTCCATTTCTGCCCAGAGGTTTGCAGAATGGGTTCTGCCAGGACGCGCGAGAACCGCTTTCATGCAACTTTGAGTTTCACGTGTAAACAGGCTCGGGGTCGGGGTCGGGGTCGGGCATACAAATTGACAGGCCGTAGATCACCGATTGTTGGCAACATTTGATCGGCTTCTAAGTTCAGATAATA